TTCCCTGACGAGCCAATAAAAAAGGCATTGTTTCTTTGTTTGGCTCAATCAAGTGTTTTATTTTACACCTTAATCTAATCCTTTATTCTCCACTTCATAGCATATAAGTAATGATCAGAGGAATTTTCATTGAAGAATCTTTTGGTCAGAACAAACCTAGACCGAGCCCAGTTGAGGCTGGTTGTGGGACTGGTCACCGGGTACTGGCACTTTGGAAAACATCTCACGCGACTGGGCCTAGCACAAGACTCGGTCTGCGGCAGGTGCGGCGACGGGAAGAATACCCCCTACATCTGATAACTCAATGCGTTGGGCTCACGAACGTCAGAAATGATGTCTTTGGGACCACCGCTTACAACATTTTTGACCTAGTGGCCTCAGGGGCGGCCAGACGCTTTGCAAGGGAGTCTGGGCTACCCGCGGGACCGCCACGATCATAGGTTTTTCCCCGCAAGGGGCCCGGGCACAATGGTCCAGGGACTGAGCGCCCGGGTTAACAAACCTTACGAAAAAAAAAAATATATTATAACATTTGGGTTAGCAACTTTTTGTGATTTTTTTGAGAATATCTTTATTGCCTTCATGAGATTCTTCTATTGTGATTCCTGGAATATTTTGCAACAAAACTGCGACAAGTAATTTTCTTTGGCCTCTTTTGAAATCAATCTAAAACCATTAAGAGTGTTCTAAGGAAACCAAGATAAGTAGTTATTTCATGGTGTACGATCAAGATTATATGGTGGATGCTTCAAAACTTCCTAATCAAGCTCTTTCAATTTTTGTCTAGTTATAAAAGTTGTACGTGGCCTAATTTTGTCATGATAACACACAATTCCAGTTCTGTTGATCAATTATTTTTAATTGCTTAATGTAATCACGGTAGTTACTGATAGTATCAATCGTTTAATTAGGTGGCATTAGCTCGTAATGTAAGGTATCTGAAGGTATTATGACTCATTTAAGGATGACATATTAAATCCACAATATTTAAACAAAACTTTTTTTTCAGTTATTTAACTATTCAAATTTTATTTTTATTCTTTACATAAAGTTTTATTATTTCATACAAATTTAAAATATTTCTTAAACATTCAGTTTCCTACTTCTTTTATGATTTTTTCCTTTCTACTGACTAATTTTTTAAATCATTTTTGAATAGACTTTACGGGTTTTTAATTCAAAAAATGGTAAAGGTTATTTTACCCTTCGATTAAATTTTGAATCGTGACCCTATATCATACATCACTTATGAGAATATTCATAAAGTATATTGAGATGTTCTTAGTCAATTCCCTTAATCCCTTTGATTTAGCATCTACCAATAACAACTTCTTTAGGTGTCTGAAATATTCTATTCGTTACTAAAAATTAGACAAATTTTAAGACAAAGATATACAGAGACAGAAATCAGTACACATGAAAGTTTGATGATGAATATTTTTTGAACGCTTAATTTAATCGCCAAAACATAAGACACCATTTTTATAGAGCAGTTTATTTTCTACAAAAATTTGTATTCTGTATTTTATAATAGTCATTTATTGTCGAGTTATAATATTCATAAACAAAAATAAAATTTGTCTTAAAAAAATCAAACTTAAATCTTCAATATCATTCAAATGGTGAGGTTTACGGAAACAGTATAAAATACCTTTTTTGTAGAGCAATAAATTTCCTACAAAATTCTTTTTGAACATTTTTCTGTACAATCGATTAATGATGAGGTATGAATTTTATTCTATTGGATTGAGAAAAAGATAAAAAAACTGCGATGCTGAGGATCTTCCTATTAAAATTAAGAGCTCATATTTTGTGAGAAATTTTTCAAGGTGTCTAGCAACCCATTTTTCCGTGGCACTTGTAAAAAAAAAATAATTGATTTTTTTGACCCACCCTAATGGACATATTACCATATACCATGAACCGTATTACAATTAGGCCATGTAATAAGAAAATCTTTCAAACTGTTTACAACTACTAAATATATCAATGTAAAAATTTTTATATAAGAACTTTATAAAACTTATATTATTCTTGGAAAGAAGTCGTAACATACTTTACCTTAAATTAATATTTCTTATAATGGTATCTTTATTGGTCCATTTCAATGATAAATTTGATTAGCGATGGCGAATGCTGTTTCTCTTCTTATATACAGGGTTATTTGTAACCAGTAGTACAAGCGAAAAGGGGGTGACTCTACATGAAAAAATTAATCAAAAATAAAGAATAACAATTTTTCGTTTGAGGTTTTGTTTTTGAGAAAATTTTCGCAAAGTATGACTTTTCGTTAGGCTGCGTCAGTCACGGGTGACTGACGTCTAACTATTTTTTTCAAAACTGAGTAACGATTGTGGCCTGACGTGAATTTCCCTTAGAATTCGCTTGGCGCTCAACGTGTTAATCATGTCTCGTTATAACGGATCTCATTGTAAATCATTGTTTCGATTGAAATTATGTTGATAAACACTACCAATATCACGGAAGTGTTTTTCTATCTTTTTTTTTTACTATCCGACTTTTATTGCAAAACACTATCAGTATCAATTAGTGTTTGAAATCAAATCTTATAAAGACCATAAATTTTATATTTTGTTATTTTTCTTAATATTCAATTTCGGTTTAACAAAATCCGGTGATAAGCTTATGAAATAAAATATTATAGAATAACACGTTGAGTGCCACGCAAATTCTTAGGGAAATTTCCGCTAGGCCACAATCGTTACTTAGTATTGACAAAAATAGTTGGACGTCAGTCACCCATGACAGACGCGACCTAACGAAAAGTCGTACTTTGTGAAAATTCAAAGTCGATTTTCTCAAAAACAAAACCTCAAACGAAACATTGTTATTCTTTATTTTTGATTTATTTTTTCATTTAGAATCACCCCCTTTTTTCTTGTACCACCAATTACAGATAACCCTATATATATATATTCTTCAAAAGGAATTAGAAAGTATATAATTTTATTTTCTATTTAGAAAGAGAGAGTGAAAAAAAGTAGAAAAAGAAATAAAAGGAAAAGAAAAAAGAAAAAATTATTCAATGATCTGCCACTACACAGTAACTCAATTTTCTCGTATCTTGATAGTCAGGGTGTATTTTTTATCGTAGGTCTATTAAGTTTATGACTATAAAATACGCTTTCGTTTATTATCTTTTATTTTCTTATAAAAAAATTAATCAAGCAATAATTTTTTAATTACAATAACTTATAGCAGCGGCTCTTAAACTATTTTTATTTATAATCATGTCTCTCTCTCTCTCTCTCTCTCTCTCGCTAATTAAAAAAATTTAAATTACAAATTCATCTATGTACAAAAAAAGGAAAACAGCATTCTACAAAGTTTATATTTTATTATATAAATGTAATACGCACCATCCTTGATAAAGTATGTATAAATTATGAAAAGAAATAAAAATTGAATAAAAGTGCTCATAACATTATAAAAAAATTTTAACAAAGAAAAAAGTATACAATTTTAATAATATTATTAACAATAAATATAAATTTTTTTATAGTAGGAAATTTAAAAAAAAAAATTAAAAAAAGGGAAAAAGCTTTAAAATCATTTCGTGATCTTTTTAGGGAGGGAGCCCGCATTTTTAGAACCATTAATTTATAGAAAAACGTATTTATGTTCCATCATTTTTTATTCTCTAAATTTTCGTTGAGATCTTTATTCGTATCAATTATTCGTTGCATCATCAAAATATCCAAGTCGACTATTAAAATAAATTGATTCTATAATTGCATTTTGCATCGATAGAATATAAAATATATCAACGATCTTGAACTTTTCTAATACTTCAAATAAATACAAAAAAAAACACTACAAAAGTCAAATATTAGATGATCTAGATAGTAAAAATCGATTACAAATATAAAAAATGTAAGAATAAGAAATAAAATAATAGGGGAAAAAAAGAAATAAAAGAGTTCAAAGCGGTTACCAAGTAGAAATGAGATGATACTTCACTAATCGTCTAGCTACGATACCCTCGATTATTTTCCGGTCAGCAAAAGATGAGAGCTGCTTCGTATCTCTGTGAGCGGCGTTCGTTGTAGTCCCATGATTCCACGAGGCGGAAGCTGTTTATTAACGTGAGGTAATGATGATGATGCCAGAACGACGACGAATACCCAGGTCACCGACAACGCAGAAGCCAACGGAACCGATACCGAACAACATCTTATATTCGAGAGCCAAGCATACTTGCTGCTTACTCATTAACGTTCATTAAAATTAATTCTTACAATAAAAAAAAGTAACAGAAAGAAGGAGTGGAAGTGAAAGAGAAAATTAAGAAAGAAATGTAAAAGAAGAGAAAAGAGGAACTCTAACACGAATAGGTGTCAAAAAAAAAAAAGAAACGGAAAACTTTAAGAATTAAAACTCTACCTATTAATTGAAAGTTTCGATTAAAAGGAGAATTGCAGGACATTGGAAAGTGTGGATGGACACGGAACTCCACAGAGAACATGTGCTATCTCTGTTAAATTCAAATTAATTCCCAACGAACTAAACCTTTATCGATATCTCCGAAACGTTAACGACCTACGTCGTTTACAAGTTCTCATCAGAAACTCCTCGCTTTTCGGTGTGTTATTATGGCATAGTTACTGCTATTTGTGGCTTTTTCCTAAAACGAAATTTACTGACTGTAATTAGAACGAAATTTTGGTGTTACATTTTATGGGTATTCTCGTTAGAATACGAATTTTCTGTGGAGAATGATATTCTTTTGTAAAGAGGAAGTGAAAGTAAGTTTGTTTCGATTATAATGTTTTTTATCGATTTTTTAAATTTATTTAAATTTATATTTTTTGTTAAAGAATTGAAGGAAAGAAAAAGTCTAATATAAATCTTGAGATTTATTTTTACTAACATATCGATCTCTGTAAGTGGATGTTCCGTTGATCATCAATGAATCATATTGCTACAAATAAATTTAATCTCTGATAGAGAATTAACAAAGCGTTCAATTAGTCTGCGACTGTTTTTTTGTACTGTGTTATCTCGTGTGTGTGTGTGTGTGTGTGTGTGTGTAATATTTGATATGTGACGTCAATTAGATTAATTCGTTTATCGTGAAAAGGATTGAGTAACTCGTATAATATGGCACCCGAAGTTATGTCTGTCAATGATTTGACTTGATCTTCCCGTACTCGTGATAAATGTAATATTAATATTTATAGTTACTTTGAGTGATTTATATTTCAAATGAAACTTTTTAAAAAAGTGAGAGTTATTTGTTTTTTTCCAATAAATCGATACTTAATCTCTTATTGTCAACATACTTTTTAAAATAATTCTAAATAGCACGCTATTTTTTTATTTTTTATATCTTTCTTATTCGAATATGAACATAATTTAATCTTATAATTCGTCTTTCTAGTTTTTATGCGCTTGTTAATCCATTTGGATTTTTTTCATATCATAATATTTTATTGAAAAGCTAAGGAAATACTCGTCTTACGGTAAAGTAAAACTAAAAATAGCTATTTCTCTTATATTCAAAGGATTTTTTGTCTAGAAATACAATATTTGCTGAATTATATTTCTTTCTACACATAATCGTACATTAAAGAGAATAATAATTCTTTGTACCTAAACGTTCTGTTTTTTTTCTTTTGTTACAGTCTTGGTGTACCAGTACACCATAGAAGAGCGAAAAATGAGTATGAGAAGAACAAATGCTAAGTAGCAGGCTATATAGGTACGAAAACAGAACGAGGAAGTAACTAGAAAAGAGAAATATAAAGAACAAAGAGTCGTAATAGAAAGTAGACGGATAAAGAAGAAGAAAAAGTACAGGAAGAGAAGAGGACTTCAAAGTTAAGAGAGAAGGAAATAGAAGAAAAAAAGGAGCAGGAAAGAATAAAATATCGAATAAAGCAAATATATATCGAAAATATGACGACGAGTAGAACTTTAAAAACTACATGGAGACTAACGTGGTTTATCTGCCTGTTATTGGCCAGCTGTTTAGCGCAAACTTCACCAATGTGTCCAGATCAACGTGAGATCTCACCATGTTCCTGCTCCACAAAAAAGGCTGGCTTGGATATTGTTTGCGAGCAGACTGATTTAACACACATTGCTACAGCCATGAATGCTCTCAAAGGAAAACCAAATACTGTTATTTTCTATTTGAGACTCAGACACAATAATTTACCTAAACTTCAAGGCTACATGTTTCTCGGTCTGGATATACGTCATCTTACTATCCACAACAGCACTTTGGCTGCAGTTGAAGAATCCTCCTTGAACTCGATCGGTAAGTCGATAAGATGGATCAAGTATGATAAAATTTGTTTGTTTCCTGAAAAAAATTCTGTGTCTCCAATATAAAAAATCATTTTTCTTAATCTTTAATCAATCTTATTTTCATTTATGTTACAGAATAAAGAAAAAATTATTTACTTAAAGATTGAAAGATGAATCGATTAAAAAAAGATTTTTTATTTCAATAAATGTTGTCGATTATTTATATCTTTTATCATTTTTTACAGGAAACAAATTGACACAACTGGATTTCTCACAGAATTATTTAGGAACCGTTCCATCCCTGGCGTTACGAAACCTTCATCATTTACTTATTTTGAATCTTAATCATAATAAGATCAGTGCCATTCATGCAAAAGCTTTCGAAGGCCTCGACACACTTGAAATTCTCACTCTCTACGAAAATGAGATATCTTCGATAGACGGGGAAGCTTTTAAGGGACTCGATAAGTATGATATTTAAATATTTTGATAATGAATTAAATTCCTACATGACAGGTCAATTTTTAATTAAAATACAAACGATAATGCCGACAGTCGAAAATTAAAACGCCTCAATCTAGGAGGGAATAAATTAACAAGCGTACCAACATCTGCTCTTTCCTCGTTGGATATGTTGAAGAAGCTGGAGATGCAAGAAAATAAAATACGATCTATCCAGGAAGCAGATTTTCTAGGTAAGCAAGCGGATTTAATTTATCCTTGATTAAAATTCTACGTTCAATGTTATTGTGCTTTTCTTCATTTAAATTTACGATAACTATAAATATAAATATTGTTTTATTATTATTTTAGGATTATAAAATTTTTCATTTAAGCTACCACTACTTATGTATAACTGATATTAAATTATAAGAATATAACTTTTGTTAAGACTTTGACTAGTTAGGGTATAAAAAGATATGAATATAGGTTTATCGCTAGAAACTGTCTCATTTGTACGATCAAATCTAGATTTTAAAGTCTATTTATTCTTTACCGTTATTTATATTAAATTATCCTATGATATAAAGTTTAATAAGGATTAAAATGTTGTTTACTCGAGTTATTTTAAGAAAATATTAAGAGAGTTATAAATAATAAATAAAAGTTACCAAAAGTTTAAATATGATATATATATATATATTAGGGTGGGTCAAAAAAATCAATTATTTTTTTTTTACAAGTGCCACGGAAAAATGGGTTGCTAGACACCTTGAAAAATTTCTCACAAAATATGAGCTCTTAATTTTAATAGGAAGATCCTCAGCATCGCAGTTTTTTTATCTTTTTCTCAATCCAATAGAATAAAATTCATACCTCATCATTAATCGATTGTACAGAAAAATGTTCAAAAAGAATTTTGTAGGAAATTTATTGCTCTACAAAATAGGTATTTTATATTTTTTCCGTAAACCTCACCATTTGAATGATATTGAAGATTTAAGTTTGATTATTTTAAGACAAATTTCATTTTTATTTATGAAAATTATAACTCGACAATGAATGACTATTATAAAATACAGAATACAAATTTTTGTAGGAAATAAACTGCTCTGTAAAAATGGTGTCTTATGTTTTGGCGATTAAATTAAGCGTTTAAAAGATATTCATCATCAAACTTTCATGTGTACTGATTTCTGTCTCTGAATATAATAAATGTTCGAATGTTTCTCCATTTCATTCTAAACAATTAGAGACACACATTTTATTGCGCTTTTTTACATTTTTATAATATTTTTTAATTGATTTGAATTGATATTGGAACAATACATTGATATATTCTCCTTATATAACTTATATAAAGACCTAACCTATATGTATATATATATATATATATCAATATATCAATATATATATATATATATATATATATATTGATTTTTTTTACTTTATTAACCCCTTAAGCAGCAATGATTTTGAAAAAAAACGCCCTAAGAAAATCATTTTTTTTTTTTGCATAAAGACATAGTTTAGAACATTGTTTTGACAAAAAAATTAAAAAAATACAGAAATAATCAATATTTTTATGTTAATTTTGGATTTTGGTCCACATTACAGAGAAGAGCCGAATATTGCAATGTTACACATACGTCGACTTTTTAATCTTTCTTTTCGAATTACTATTTCGGAAAAAACATTTTTCGAAAAAAAAACGATTCTTTTTCTTTGCTTTCACATTCTTATTTTCCATTTTCTATTATATTTAAATGTAAAAAATCATAGAAATATAAAATAATACGCTGCTCGAGTTAACTCGAGTGTGCTGCTTAAGGAATTAAATAATATCAAATCCATTAAAAAAAAAAAAAAATTAATTTGATGTTCTTCCTAGAAGATAATTGTTGTTGTGATTATTGATCTACGAATTTTTCATAGGATTAAAAAATTTGGACTCATTAGGACTGGCGCACAATCAGATTCGATCTATACCAGCTCGTGCATTTTATGATTTGTCACAATTAAATTCTTTGGAGCTTGACGGAAATGAAATCAGCTATGTCGATCCAGATGCATTTATTGGCCTTGAAGGTGAGTTTAGTTGATTTACATGAAAGCATTTTTTCGAAAAGTGAACTTGTTTTTCCACTATCATAAAACAAATTTTATACGTTATTTTATAAAGATAGTAAATTTTCTTTAATATTTAAAGTGAGACACGGTTTCTCCACTTTCATTGAAAGTTACACAATTCTCTTTCGAAAGAAATGTGTGTACTCTTAACGTCATACTTTAATACTCCAATAATATTGCAAAGTGTATCCCACAAGCGTGATTTAATGTATGGAAGTAGTAGGTTGTACGCATCGCGGATCACTTATGTAGATCACACACACACACGTGTAACACGAATATGTATATGCAAGTAAGAGTGTATTTCATGTGGGATTTTTTAACCTTCGCGAGGATATATCAAAACATTTAATTACAATCATTATATAGTTCTGCAGGTTACGTATAAAATACGTAAAATACGGGGGTCTATTTATCTTCCAGATATTGACTTTAATTACCTTTAATTAACTGTTTGATTTCGTATAAATTCGATATTTACTCTTCCATAATCACAAACACAAACAAAAATATCTCCTTTTTTAATGTTTTTTTTTTTTTCAGAAAATTTACAATATTTACGATTAGGTGATAACAATTTACACATGGTACCGAGTGATGCTCTTAGGCGCCTTCATCGTTTACGTCACCTTGACTTAAGAGCAAACAATATAACTGTGCTCCCAGAAGATGCTTTTACCGGATACGGAGATTCAATATCTTTTCTTAATCTTCAGAAAAATTTGTAATTATAATTCATATTTTGATCTTGTAACTGTCAATATCGACACATCTCGTATTGACATAAACGTTCAAATTGTTTAATCTTACAGAATTAAAGTACTACCACCGTTAGTATTTGAAAATTTAAATTCCCTGGAAACGCTCAGCCTACAAAATAATAAACTCACTCACATACCAGAGGAAGTGACAGAAACAATCGTCGACACATTGCGACATATCGACATAACAGGTAATGATACGATTCAATTTCTATAAATAGTTCTCATAATAAACGTAAAGTATTTCATTTTAACCACACCACGATTGAAAAGACCTCTTGTCAATTTTTATATCAAATTTTAAAATAGACAATCTTGATGATACATAAAATTAAATTATCAAATATTACGAATAACTGTTTGATTTATTTTATTATTTTTTTTTATACAGATAACCCGTTGATATGCGATTGTGAGCTTCGTTGGTATCCAGCCTGGCTTCAAAATCTTCGTGACAAGGACGACGAAATGATGTCAAAGAAGCGTACGGTTTGTATGATGCCGACCGAGCACCGAGAATACTCTGTGCAAAATATACCCTTAGAAAAAATGGGCTGCGTCAGAAAGAACGAGGAGAAAATGTCGCTGAATGGAATTGCCGTTTACCAGAGCATCTGTTACGTTAACTTTTTCGCATTTTTCTTCGTTGTCGGCTTGTAAAACTTTTGTTTATCTATCTTCGTCATTATAATTGTATTTCTTACCTTTTTTTTTTTTACCTTGCAAGACGAAAAGTCCTTATCATGAGAAAAAAATCGCTAACTCGAAGAAAAAATTTTTTTTTATTTCAAATAAAACTAGTAATCATTGTGTGGTAATTATTTAGCGTGCTATTTATTTATGATTTAACGTATATTGAAGAAGTCTTTTAGATACATTGAGATCTCGTTCCAATCGGATAGAGACATTGAATACGCTCTATGAAAGATAACAATGAAAGTATAAGAAATTTAAGATATCTTATTAACGTAACGTATGTCGTAGTAACGTTTCTCGTATTCTAATAGTAGTTATACTTTCGAACAGAGTATTCGTAAGTAACTGCGACAATCGATAGTTCTACGACGATTAGATCCTTTCACCTACTAAATTAGTCGATTAGCACTTCTGAGTACGTTTCTACGTTGCGTCACATGCAAGAAATATACAGGTTCTATTCGCAGAAGATAGATAGCGTCCCGAAAGGGGAAAAGGTTTGAAGAATGAAAAGAAAGTAGACTGAATTTACACACGGATTGTTCAATGTCTTAGATCATAGTCGTAAGATTCTTTATTTAATCAACGTCAATGTTCGAAGAATCGTCTGGTTATCGTTCTATTAAACAAGAAAAAGAAGAGAAATAGAACGGAAATTTATTCCGTCGATCTCACGGAAGCGAGTCTCGTTTGTTACGAGTGCATGAGCTTTCATCACCAAAACGTTACATATCAATATCGTTGCCAACCATTTTGTGAATATTCTTTAAGGTTGCGAAGCGAAAGGAGATTAGTATAATTGATAAAGAAAAAGGTGACAAAAAAAACCTTTGTTTAAAAAAATTAAGGAAGAAAATAATATAATTAACTAAGGGGGTCTAACTGCTCAGATCGCTCAAAAAAGGAATATATTCTAAAAAAAATTCATAAATTCAAAAGTATAATTTGAAATATTTTTATTTCTAACTACACAGCAAATTCCGACTTCAGGAATTATTATAGGAATTATTATGTAATTATCAAGAATTAAATTATACTTAAATAAATTCTAGACAGAAATATTTAAAAATTACGGTACTGCAGCAGTTTCTACGGAAATCCTCGATACGGCAAACACTGATACAGATTTACGAAAACGCAAGATGAATGTAAAGATGTTTAATTTTTTTGAAAAAGAGTATTTAAGAGTTTGAGAGAATAATTATAAATCTGATATTATTTTTTTGACAAACAAAATGGCGGATTGGAAATCGCTAATATTCTTATTAAAAAGTGACTAAATTACTTTAAAAAATTAGTATTTGAGGATTTTTGAGACCGCTTGTTATGAATCTAATATTTTTTTTGTTTAAAAGACATAATAACGGACTTAAGATTAAAGATTTTAATTTCATTTGTAATTAAATTTCTTCATAATTATATAAAATAATAAATAAAATGTATGATCATTAGGAATACAGTTATTCATTACTTTAAAATATCGAGAATGAAAGCTACATTTGTGACTATTTGTAAGTAACTCTTTGATCATTTATTAGGTAAAGATTTAATAAAAAATTTGAACCCGATTAAAGCTCTCTTAATCGTATTTGTCATATACTTAGAGCCCAAAGAATAAATATTTGTGATATTACATTGACGAAAAATATCCAGCAATATACTCTCCATTAGCCTCTACATTTATTATTTATCTAAATTTTTAAAAACATGACTTACTTGTACTTACTATCAAGCAAAGATTCTTTATTTATATGTTTGAATCAGAATAATATTAATTGTATTATGCGCGTTTAAAGACACTATAATTTTCGGGCCGCAGTAAATCACAAATGCGTTGCTCTTAATGCTTAAGTTTCAACTGATAATTTACAGGTGTGCAGTAGCACTTATTTATAACAAATGGTTGATGAAAACGCTACAGGGTCTGTAAACATATTCCAGGGTTAAAAAGACCGAAACGAATATTTGTTTTTTTTTATTTCACACGCGTTTTCGGTATTTAAAATTAGTATACGACATGTATTTGAAAAATATTAGCTTATTTGCAAATAGAACTGCTTCAATATAGTGTACGGATTGTTTTTTGACTATCAAGGAATTTATAAAATACAAATTTTTTTACGTCTGCTTACCACAAATATTCCAATTGTCGGAAAATAATCCGTATATTGTATATTAATGTCGCTATTCAAGAGGAAACTAACTTTATGTGAGATTCAACATAACAGTGCAGCTAAGTTACGCGTATATTGTGCGAAAAGCTTCCTTAAAGATGCTGCTGTGCCGCAATTTCATTTTATACTTTTGAATCTATGAACTTTTAAAAAATAGTCTTATTTTAGCAGTGAACCTTGATGACTCCTATAATAATAGTTATAATAATAATTTAATAATATATAAATAATAAAATAATAAAAATTAATAATAATAATAATAATAATAATAATAAAAATAAAAATAATAATAATAATAATAATAATAATAATAACCAGAACTACAAGAAAAAGAACTTAAGCAACAACAACAGCAACAATAAGAATAGAATAAACTTTTTACACGAAAATATCAATGCGTTACAAATGCATGAACCGATTCGTAAATAGACGTTCTAATGTTTTAATTATACGTATGTTATGAGCGTTTTCACGTTTATTAAAAAGATTATTTAAATAGGAACACTTTGATAAAATTATTTTTTAGGAGAAGAACACTCCTGAACACGTATTGGAATATATAACGAATTTCTTTAGAATAAATGTAGCAATGTTAAATTATTGGAGTAAATTATTGAACTATATTGTACTATATAGTCGATATAGTAATTAAACTATATCTACATTGAATTATCTTGGGTTGAGTCAAGGAAAGAACGGGCTATTATAACAGGTAAGAATATCTTCAATCGATTCAGATCGTTAGTTTTCTCGTTTATCTCGTGTAAATGCCAGTGTAGTCGTTGAAATGACATAACAACTGTTGATGACTCCTAATACACCGTACAGGAAGCTGACACTTGTCAAAGCCAGTAGAGTACAAACGTGGTTATTCACAGATCTCGTTGCTCCTCTTTCATGACTTTACAAATCTAAATGCTGATATTAACGTGCGCATTAAATTTATTATTACCAATCACCATTATACTTAAATACGTATGGTAATTGTACCTAATATGGAACTATAACTAATATGGAGCCCTGTAAACAATGAAAACTATCAGACACCATGTTGAGTGCTTCATTTATTATAAAAAAGAAACAATCACATAATTATTCAAATTTGTCTTGAAAGTCTGTTATTGAACACAGGGCATTTTTGTATTTGACAGGGTTTCAAAGTTTCTACATGCAAGTTAAATGGTCAAATTTTTTAGTAAAAATAAGGTTATTATATAATATTATATATACAATGTCGTAAAATAAAAAATAATATTATATGTTAATATTATATAGTAATATGACATAATATTATTTTATTATACTACTTTATAATATTACTTTATAATATTATTTTACTACTAATTTAATATTATTTTTGCATAATTTAATATTATTAACTTTCTTATTTTAGAATAATTTTTTATATTTAAATACGTGGTAACCTAAAATTAAACGCCTTGTATTATCTGATTAATATCACAAATGACAATGTTATTAAATGTTAATTTTTCTATTGAAACTATATATATGACAATAAGAGAAAAATGAAAACATTATTATAAATAATTCGGCATTCGTGAAAAGGTTGACCGTACGATTATAGTTCTACATGAGACCCTGGTACTAGTCTTACAATTAGTCCAATTAATTCAAGGTCGAATTCTTTCACGAATTCTACTATAATATAATATAAAATAAGTGTAACTAGCTAGACAAGATTTTTTTATTTGCATTCTTTATTCTAATAAATATTTAGTTTCCATAATTAGTATTTTAAACTTTCTTTATAAATTCCTTAGATGTTGAATATATTGGATTTTATATTTTTAACTAGTCATTTTTAACTTTCTTCGCATCAGTAACGATAACTTAAAAAATTTTTAAATATTAAAAATTTCATTTACGGTTAAGTCGACAAAATCATAAGATGTATTCATTTTAAGAATTAATGCGAAATTTTTATATATCTTTTTATGGTTAGTGCTTTCTTTATTTCAAGTATAAGTGAATTCCAAATTTCAAAAAAGGATATTAATTTTAAAATTAGAACAATCAGAAAAATTTACCATCAGAAAACTAGTTAACTTGCAATAAAAATTAACTATCCGTTTAATAATATCTAAGTTACAAAAAAGTTATTATGATTATTAATTGGTTTTAGGAACTCGACAGTTCATTGTCGCAAATACTTTATCCCGCCAATCGAATAAAAGCACGCATTGCCTAAATTGATGAATTTAAAGAAGGCGATATACTAGAAAGTTCTAATACTCAGTGAAAAAATTCACAAATATATTTAGTGGCCCAAATCAAAACTATTTTGGAAATTCTGAAAAAAATTACAAGTAAAAATTCCATTCTAAAAACATTTTTTTAAATCACGTAAATCTGACTAACAGCTCGGAAGTAGTTAGAATAATAGTTACAATTTTGAAAGTAAAAAATGCAAACTTTTATACATAAATGTTAAAGTTATATCAATGTTACATGGTAATGTTGTATCTCTAGCTTTGAACAAAAACAGTTACTAAAAATTTAATTTATTAATTTAAAATTATTACTATGAACGACAACAACGTTACAAAAAAACAGTTTTATAAAAATATAATGATCCATATCCAAGTAACTTCTTTTCAGTGAATTCAAAAAATAAAAACTCTTATCACACGTAATTACGAAGTAAAATAAGACATTAAAAAAATATATTTTATTATAATTGATTAAAAATATGCAATGAATGATAACTATGTTTCTTGAGCAAATTAAATTTTGAAACTAGCAATCACAATAAATTATTACAATTATAAACATTAATAATAAATAGTAGTTGCTACTAGACTTAATATTGCAATTTTAACGCGCGTGGTATTAAAGATTAAAAGAATTAATATAAAGTATGTTTAAATTCTAATAAAACCGACGTTATATTTATGGCAGAAGCCTATCTCACTAAAATAAACAATATTAGGTCCTCTCTTTTAGTGTCTATGACTTAAAACATACATTTGGTAGATTTTTTTTTTTTTTAAGACTAAAGAATTTTAATTACTTAGTGGTCATTTGGCCAGACAACGAAAACGAAACAGTATTATTGTGGATTCTTTTTTAAAGAAAATAACGAATTATTTTTTAGGATTTTGTTTATTACAATTTAAACTGATAAGCAATACTTTATGGAAAGATTATTTTTTAAACAAAAGTAGCTATTATTTAATATGATACTGGCAAGTATATTAAACGCAAATGATAAATGGGACAACATTCTTATTCTGTATAATTACTATTATGGTTTAGACCCAAATAAACAATTACGTTAACAGCTGAAAGAATAGTTTACATATAAAATTTAAGTATGGAAATTTGGAAATTAGCTCCTTTTTGTTGTTTTTCATTATTTAAATTACTTTATTTATTATTATATTTATATGATATATTTTTATATACTTTTATATAAATTACTATTATACATTACAATAATTTTAGTTTTAACTATAGCTAATTATTTATACAATCAGATATAAGAATATTAGTGTTTTCGATGTTTTCTTTTTTAATCATGTTTTAAGAAAAAAGTTTTCAAAGTTTACAATAAATTTCTTAGTTATCATAGACTGTTTCTACTGCAAATTAAATGAAAGTCAAAACAGTGTAAATTATAGTATCTGAATTTCTGTATTACATTCCTAAGAATAAGAAAAATCAATATAAGCAAAAAGTATCTATCATTCCAAAATTTTTGACCACAATCACTCTTCAAGGTGTAAAAATGTATTAACTTTCTCATATGTTAATGTAAATTCTAATTTAAAAAAAGTCATTACTTGACGAGGCTTACATTATAAGCTTTATAGCAATTTTCTTTATCTAGAGGACATATGTTACATTTATCTTGAAGATGCCTTGGACATTTGCTAAGAATTAGAAATCAAATTGTATCTATTGTCCATTTTTTAAATTTGCTTATTAATAATAAGCACATACACAGTCCTTTAGATTTTACCAAATATGCAATAAATAAGCACAAGGAGAAAACTTTTACATGTAGACAAAACTAGCTGAGGATTCTCTGATGCATTTCTTTGAATAATCTTACTTCAGTTACAAAAATTGTGATTTACTTATGAGAAAGACATAAGTGCTTACTAGGAAATAAAAGAGCAATATTTAAAATTATTTATTAAGAGAACGATAGATTATATAAAGTCGTAGGAAATAATCGATTGAACACTAGAAAGTTGAAGTACAAAAAAAAAAGTATAAATTTAATACTATACTTTTTTATTATTTTTTTTTTTTATGTATCTTCATTATAATAGTTCTATTATTTTTTATCTAAATTTTTTATTTTAAAAGTTTACATCATTTCCACCTTTATAGCTATTGTTATTAGAACAAAATTTGTTATTTTAATCATATTAACCATTTAACACATAAGCTTGATAATTAGGTGCAGGAAATAGTACATGCGTTTCAACATTACGATCAGAA